ATCGATTTTCTTTTTCTTTTTCTTTCTTTTTTTTTTTTTATTTTTGAGACAGACTCTCACTGTGTCACTCAAGCTGGAGTGCAGTGGTGCAGTCTTGGCTCACTGCAACCTCTGTCTCCCAGGTTCAAGTGATTCTCCTGCTTCAGCCTCCCACATACCTGGGAATACAGGTGCAAGCCATCGTGCCCAGCTCCCCTTCATTCTTTAAGGTAGTATATTACATTAATTGATTTTCTTTTCTTTTCCTTTTTCTTTTTTTTTTTTTTTTTTTTGAGACAGACTCTCACTCTGACACTCAAGCTGGAGTGCAGTGGCGCAGTCTTGGCTCACTGCAACCTCTGCCTCCCAGGTTCAAGTGATTCTCCTGCTTCAGCCTCCCGAGTAGCTGGGACTACAAGTACTTGCCCCGCCATGCCTGGCTAATTTTTGCTTTTTTTTTTTTTTTTTTTTTTTTTTTTAAGTAGAGATGGGGTTTTACCATGCTGCCCAGGCTGGTCTCAAACTCCTAATCTCAAGTGAACCTCTCGCCTCGGCCTCCCAAGGTGTGGGGATTACAGGCATGAGCCACCGTGTCCAGCCTGTATTTATTTATTTATTTATTTTTGAGACAGAGTTTCTCTCTTGTTGTCCAGGCTGGAGTGTAATGGTGTGACCTCGGCTCACTGCAACCTCCACCTCCTGGGTTCAAGCAATTCTCCTGCCTCAGCCTCCCAAGTAGCTGGGATTACAGGCATGTGCCACCACACTTGCCTAATTTTTGTATTTTTAATAGAGACAGGGTTTCACCATGTTGGCCAGGCTGGTCTTGAACTCCTGAGCTTGTGATCTGCCTAACTTGGCCTCCCAAAGTGCTGAGATTACAGGCATGAGCCACCGCCCCTGCTCTGATCTTTTAAATATGGTGTTGGATCAGATTTGCCTAGTACTTTGTTGGCGATTTTTGCATCTGTATTTATAAAATATATTGATCTATAGTTTTCTTGTGGTGTCTTTTTATGGCTCTGGTATTTAGGTAACACACAGGCCTCATAGAATGAGTTAAGGAAGTGTTTCCTCCAAGTTTTTGGAAGCTTTTGAGAAGGACTAGTATAAATTTTCCTCTAAATGTTTGGTAGATTTCACCAGTGAAGCCATCTGGACCTGAACTTTTCTTTGTGGGTAGTTTTAAAATTAGTACCTTAATCTCTTTATTTATGATAGATCTATTCAGATTTTCTTATTTTTCTTTTATTTATTTATTTATTTTGAGACAGAGTCTCACTCTGTCACCCAGGCTGGAGCACAGTGGTGCGATCTCGGTTCACTGCAAGCTCCGCCTCCCAGGTTCACGCCATTCTCCTGCCTCAGCCTCCTGAGTAGCTGGGACTACAGGCGCCTGCCACCACACCCAGCTATTTTTTTTTGTATTTTTAGTAGAGACGGGGTTTCACCATGTTAGCCAGGATGGTCTCGGTCTCCTGACCTCGTGATCCACCCACCTCAGCCTCCCAAAGTGCTGGGATTACAGGCGTGAGCCACTGTGCCTGGCCTATTTATTTATTTTTGAGATGCAGTCTTGCTCTGTCACCCAGACTGGAAGGCAGTGGTGTGTTCTTGGCTCACTGCAACCTCCGCCTCCTGGGTTCAAGCAATTCTCCTGCCTCAGCCTCCTGAGTAGCTGGGATTACAGACATGTGCCACCACGCCTGGGTAATTTTTGTATTTTTTTAGTAGAGACGGGGTTTCACCATGTCAGCCAGGCTGGTCTCGAACTCCCGACCTGAGGTGATCTACCTGCTTCAGCCTCCCAAAGTTCTGGGATTACAGGCATGAGCCACTGCACCTGGCCAGATTTTCTCACTTGTCTTGAGTCAGTTTCAGTAGTTTTTATATTTCTAGGAATGTATGCATTTAATCTAAATTATTGAATCAGTAGACATACAGTTGTTCACAGTATTGCCTTATAATTCCTTATATTTCTGTAAGGTTGGCATTAATGCCTTCTCTTTTATTCTTGATTTTAGTAATTTGAGTCTTAGTCAGTCTAGCTAAAGGTTTGTCAATTTTGTTGGTCTTTTTTTTTTTTTTTTTTGAGACAGAGTCTCGCTCTGTCGCCCAGGTTGGAGTGCAGTGGCCGGATCTCAGCTCACTGCAAGCTCTGCCTCCCGGGTTTATGCCATTCTCCTGCCTCAGCCTCCCGAGTAGCTAGGACTACAGGCGCCCACCACCTCGCCCAGCTAGTTTTTTGTATTTTTAGTAGAGACGGGGTTTCACCATGTTAGCCAGGATGGTCTTGATCTCCTGACCTCATGATCCACCCGTCTCGGCCCCCCAAAGTGCTGGGATTACAGGCTTGAGCCACTGCACCCGGCCTATTTTATTAATTTTTAATTTATCTCTTGTGCCCAAACATTAGGTGGAACAATTCATCCCCATTTGCCCAGGACTTCCCTGGTTTTAACACTAAAAGTCCTATATCTTGGGAAATTCCTATATCCCAGGTGAATTGGAACAGCTGACACCTGACATAGCAGTCATTTGATGACCAAAATTAAACCAATGCAGCTTGCTCAGGACTGTGTGGCATGGTACAACAGAAAACATGGACTCTGGAGTTAAGGTTTGGGTTCAAATTCTAGCACTATCATTTACTAGCTGTGTGGCTCTGGGCAACTCACCCCACCTCTTTTCTCACCATTAAAATAGGCATCAGAATCTCTGTGTTGAAAAATGCCCATATGGATTGGAGAGAATTTATGTAAAAACATGATTATCTCTGCCACGCTTCGTGGCTCACACCTGTAATCCCAGCACTTTGGGAGGCTGAGGTGGGTGGATCACCTGAGGTCAGCCTGGCCAACATGGTGAAACCCCATCTCTACTAAAAATACAAAAATTAGCCAGGCATGGTGGCACGCACCTGTAGTCCCAGCTACTCGGGAGGCTGAGGCAGGAGAACTGCTTGATCCCAGGAGGCGGAGGTTGCAGTGAGCCGAGATTGTGCCACTGCACTCCAGCCTGGGTGACAGAGCAAGACTGTCTCAAAACAAAAACAAAAACAAAGCATGGTTTTCTCAACAAATGGTACTTGTCATCATTATAAGTATTTTGAGGTTCTCAACCAACTGTAACTTTTTTCAGACAAAGACACATGGGAATTTCCTGGGTCTTAGATCCCAGTTGGATATTCAGATGCTGTACTATGTGCCAGGGCCTGTGGAGGTCTGTCTGATTTCCCTAGGGAAGAGATGCTCAGAAAATTAATGCTTAGGTTTTCATAGAGTCCTTGGGCATGTTTGATAATGAAGAGCCAACCAATCAAAGCCATTTCTCTCTCTCTCTCTGTTTTTTGGAGAAAAGTTCTCACCCTTTCACCCAGACTGGAGTGCAGTGTGATCATAGTTCACTACAGCCTTGAACTCCTGGGTTAAAACAGTCCTCCCACCTCAGCCCCCGAGTAGCTGGGACCACAGGCGTGTGCCCCATACCCAGCTAATTTTATTATTATTTTATTTTTTCTCTGTCACCCCAGCTGGAGGGCACTGGCGCAATCTCCGCTCACCGCAACCTCTTCCTCCCAGGTTCAAGTGATTCTCGTACCTCAGCCTCCTGAGTAGCTGGGATTATAGGCGCCCACCACCACACCCAGTTAGTTTTTGTTTTGTTTTGTTTTTTGAGATGGAGTCTTTCTCTACCACCCAGGCTGGAGTGCAGGTGACACAATCTTGGCTCACTGCAATCTCTGCCCTTCTCGGTTCAAGCGATTCTCCTGCCTCAGCCTCCCAAGTAGCTGGGATTACAGACGTGCACCACCACATCCGGCTAATTTTTTTTTTAGTAGAGATGGGGTTTCACTATGTTGGCCAGGCTGGTTTCAAACTCCTAACCTCAAGTGATTCGCCCGCCTTGGCCTCCCAAAGTGCTGGGATTACCAAACTAAGCCACCATGCCCGGCCCCAGCTAATTAAAAAAAAAAAACAAAAAAAACAAAACCTTTTAAGAGATGGGGTCTATGTTGCCTAGGCTGATCTCAAACTCCTGGGCTCAAGTGATCCTCCCACTTTGGCCTCCTAAAGTGTTGGGCTCATTAGCATGAGCCATCATGTCCTGCTGGAGTGTTTTTTTTTTTTTTTTTTTGGAGACAGTGTCTTGCTCTGTCGCCAGGCTGGAGTGCAGTGGCACTATCTTGGCTCACTGCAAGCTCCACTTCTCGGGTTTAAGCAATTCTCCTGCCTCAGCCTCCCGAGTAACTGGGACTACAGGCACGTGCCACCATGTCCAGCTAATTTTTGTATTTTCAGTAGAGATAGGGTTTCACCATGTTGGCCAGGCTGGTCTTGAACTCCTGACCTTGTGATCCGCCCACGCTGGCCTCCCAAAGTGCTGGGATTACAGGTGTGAGCCACCACAGCTGGGAAAGCATGCATTTTAATTTTTATTATTATTTTTTGAGACAGAGTCTTGCTCTGTCACCCAGGCTGGAGTGCAGTGGCACGATCTCCACTCACTGCAAGCTCTGCCTCCCAGGTTCACGCCATTCTCCTGCCTCAGCCTCCCAAGTAGCTGGGACTACAGGTGCCCTCCACCACGCAAGGCTATTTTTTTGTATTTTTAGTAGAGACGGGGTTTCACGGTGTTAGCCAGGATGGTCTCAATCTCCTGACCTCGTGATCCACTGGCCTCAGCCTCCCAAAGTGCTGGGATTACAGGCGTGAGCCCCCGCACCAAGCGTGCATTTTTATAATGCTCCCAGGTGATGCTGCTGAAGGCAGTCCACAGTCCACACCCAGAACCCACATACCAGGCCACCTGTACAGATCATGAAAATGAAGCCCCTAGCACACTGCCTGGCACATGGTTTGTGCCCAGGAAACAGCACTAGAGAGACTATGCAAGTTGCTCTAGACCCACGAGGGAACTGATGCTTGCTCAGTCCCATGCAGTCTTGGGTGTCCCATCCCGATCTCCCCTGCCCTGCCCCCAGCCTTCCCAGGGGAAGAGAATAAACAGCAGCAGCAACATTTTCATTTTATAAGCACTTGGTTTTATTGCACAGAAGCAATTGAAAGTGGACTCCAGTGGAAAGTGCGCCCTGGCATAATTCAGTGGCCAGTGCCCGGCCCCACCTGGACCGCTCTTCCAGAATAGAGAGCTCTGGGCAAGGGCTTGACCACTCCTTTGGAAAACAGAAGGCATTTGGGAATAGGTTAAGACATCTCAAGCATAATGTGTTTCTAACTGCTCATTCATTATTGCGGTCATCTGTCAGTTGCACATAGAGGCAATAAATGCACTTATTTGGAAAGGAGGGGGCAGTTTTATAGTCAAGTGTTTACGTGTGGCATTCGGCATGTATCACATTCAGCTACATAAGCTATCATAACATAATTGTCCATCGCCTGGGGAGGGCGTGGGGGCAGGGGCCTGGGAGTGCCCTCTCTTGCTAACATATTGCTAACAAATTCCTGTTTGAAGAAGGAGGCCCCGTCATCAAAGCAGTTTCTTCTTACATAAAGAGAAAAAGTGAAAATTGTGTTAATCCGATCCTTGAGCTCTGGGACTCTTTTAAGTTTCTTTGGCTGTTCCGGATGTTCCTTTCTCCCTGCCTTACTTCCCCTTGGCAGCCTTGTCTTCTGTGGCCTTCTCTGGAGGCCTGCTATCTTTTTGGTCTGTGCTGGAGGATTTTTCAGCCTTTTCCGCCTTAGGCTTGGTAGGCTCCTTTGAGAGGGTCTTGTCATCCTCCTTGGCTTTGGCCTCTGTCTTGGGTTTCTCCTCAGGCTTCTTGGCCTTCTCCTCCTTGGTGTCTTTTTTCTCCGGTGCTGCTGCCGCCTCCTCCTTCTCTGCTGGTTTGCTGGGTTCCTTGGCCTTGGCATTATCTGGTTCCTTCTTGGCCACCTCTGTCTTCTCTTTGGGTTTAGCGTCTTCCTTCACCTCCACTTTAGCAGGAGCCTCCTTCTCTGGGGTGGCGGCTTTTTTCTTATCTTCAGCCTCTTCCTTCTTGGCTTCAACTTTGGATTCTTTGGGCTTTTCGACAGCAGGTTCCTTCTTCTCCTCCACCTTGGGCTTTGGAGCCTCTTTCTTGGGTGCCTCCTCTTTCTTGCTGTCCTTCTTCTCCTCCGTTTTTGGCGTGGCAGGGGCTTTCTCTTCCTCCGCCTTCTTTGGGGGCTCTTTGACTTTCACCTCTTGGGGCTTCTCCTCCTTCACTGGGGACTTCACCTCTTCCTTCTTTGGGATCTCTTTCTCAGGGGCCTTGGCATCCTCCTTCAGGGGAGACTTCGCCTTCTCTGGGGACTTGACCTCCTCCTTGACAGGGCTTTTGGCCTTTTCAGGGGATTTGTCTGCAGGGGACCTTGCTTCCTCCTTCGCTGGCGTCTTGGCTTCTGGAGATTTCACATCAAGAGTCTTGGCCTTCTCGGGGGACTTGGCCTTCTCGGGGGACTTGGCTTCCTCCTTCACTGGGGATACCTGCTTCAGCCTCCCAAAGTTCTGGGATTACAGGCATGAGCCACTGCACCTGGCCAGATTTTTCACTTGTCTTGGAGTCAGTTTCAGTAGTTTTTATATTTCTAGGAATGTATGCATTTAATTCAAATTATTTAGAATCAGTAGACATACAGTTGTCTACAGTATTGCCTATAATTCCTTATATTTCTGTAAGGTTGGCATTAATGCCTTCTCTTTTATTCTTGATTTTAGTAATTTGAGTCTTAGTCAGTCTAGCTGCTTGTCAATTTTGTTGGTCTTTTTTTTTTTTTTTTTTTTTTTTGAGACAGAGTCTCGGCTTGACGCCCAGGTTGGAGTGCAGTGGCCGGATCTCAGCTCACTGCAGCTCTGGCCTCCCGGGTTTATGCCATTCCTCTGTGCCTCAGCCTCCCGAGGCTAGGATCACAGGCGCTCACCACTCGCCCAGCTTAGTTTTTTTATATATTTTTAGTGAGACGGGGTTTCACTGCGGCTGAAGCAGGGAGCGGTCTCCTGATCTCCTGACCTCATGATCCACCTGCCTCGGCCCCCAAAGTGCTGGGATTACAGGCTTGAGCCACTGCACCTCGGCCCATTTTATTAATTTTTAATTTATCTCTTGTGCCCAAACATTAGGTGGAACAATTCATCCCCATTTGCCCAGGACTTCCCTGGTTTTAACACTAAAAGTCCTATATCTTGGGAAATTCCTATATCCCAGGTGAATTGGAACAGCTGACACCTGACATAGCAGTCATTTGATGACCAAAATTAAACCAATGCAGCTTGCTCAGGACTGTGTGGCATGGTACAACAGAAAACATGGACTCTGGAGTTAAGGTTTGGGTTCAAATTCTAGCACTATCATTTACTAGCTGTGTGGCTCTGGGCAACTCACTTCTACCTCTTTTCTTCTCACTCATTAAAATAGGTACTGTGAATCTCTGTGTTGAAAAACATATGGATTGGAGAGAATCTATAAAAACATGATTATCTCTGCCACGCTTCGTGGCTCACACCTGTAATCCCAGCACTTTGGGAGGCTGAGGTGGGTGGATCACCTGAGGTCAGCCTGGCCAACATGGTGAAACCCCATCTCTACTAAAAATACAAAAAATTAGCCAGGCATGGTGGCACGCACCTGTAGTCCCAGCTACTCGGGAGGCTGAGGCAGGAGAACTGCTTGATCCCAGGAGGCGGAGGTTGCAGTGAGCCGAGATTGTGCCACTGCACTCCAGCCTGGGTGACAGAGCAAGACTGTCTCAAAACAAAAACAAAAACAAAGCATGGTTTTCTCAACAAATGGTACTTGTCATCATTATAAGTATTTTGAGGTTCTCAACCAACTGTAACTTTTTTTTCAGACAAAGACATGGGAATTTCTGGTCTTAGATCCCAGTTGGATATTCAGATGCTGTAATTTCATGTGCCAGGCCCGTGAGAACTGGGTCCGACTTGCGTTATCCTGTCCCAATGCTTGTGGCCTTTCAGAGTCCTTGGGCATGTTTGATAATGACAACCAATCAAAGCCATTTCTCTCTCTCTGTTTTTTGAGAAAGTTCTCACCCTTTCACCCAGACTGGAGTGCAGTGTGATCATAGTTCACTACAGCCTTGAACTCCTGGGTTAAAACAGTCCTCCCACCTCAGCCCCCGAGTAGCTGGGACCACAGGCGTGTGCCCCATACCCAGCTAATTTTATTATTATTTTATTTTTTTTTTCTCTGCCTACCCCCAGCTGAGGGCACTGGCGCAATCTCCGCCACCGCAACCTCTTCTTCCTCCCAGGTTCAAGTGATTCTCGTACCTCAGCCTCCTGAGTAGCTGGGATTATAGGCGCCCACCACCACACCCAGTTAGTTTTTGTTTTGTTTTGTTTTTTGAGATGGAGTCTTTCTCTACCACCCAGGCTGGAGTGCAGGTGACACAATCTTGGCTCACTGCAATCTCTGCTCCTTCTCGGGTTCAAGCGATTCTCCTGCCTCAGCCTCCCAAGTAGCTGGGATTACAGACGTGCACCACCACATCCGGCTAATTTTTTTTTTAGTAGAGATGGGGTTTCACTATGTTGGCCAGGCTGGTTTCAAACTCCTAACCTCAAGTGATTCGCCCGCCTTGGCCTCCCAAAGTGCTGGGATTACCAAACTAAGCCACCATGCCCGGCCCCAGCTAATTAAAAAAAAAAAAAAAAAAAAACCTTTAAGAGGATGGGGCCTGTGTTGCCTAGCTGATCTCAAACTCCTGTCAAGTGATCCTCCCACTTTGGCCTCCTATAGCTCATTAGCATGAGCCATCATGTCCTGCTGGAGTGTTTTTTTTTTTTTTTTTTTGAGACAGTGTCTTGCTCTGTCGCCAGGCTGGAGTGCAGGCACTATCTCGGCTCACCGTGCTCCACTTCTCGGGCTTCTAAGCAATTCTCCTGCCTCAGCCTCCCGAGTAACTGGGACTACAGGCACGTGCCACCATGTCCAGCTAATTTTTGTATTTTCAGTAGAGATAGGGTTTCACCATGTTGGCCAGGCTGGTCTTGAACTCCTGACCTTGTGATCCGCCCACGCTGGCCTCCCAAAGTGCTGGGATTACAGGTGTGAGCCACCACAGCTGGGAAAGCATGCATTTTAATTTTTATTATTATTTTTGAGACAGAGTCTTGCTCTGTCACCCAGGCTGGAGTGCAGTGGCATGATCTCCACTCACCGCAAGCTCTGCCTCCCAGGTTCACGCCATTCTCCTGCCTCAGCCTCCCAAGTAGCTGGGACTACAGGCGCATGCCACCACGCAAGGCTAATTTTTGTATTTTTAGTAGAGACGGGGTTTCACGGTGTTAGCCAGGATGGTCTCAATCTCCTGACCTCGTGATCCACTGGCCTCAGCCTCCCAAAGTGCTGGGATTACAGGCGTGAGCCCCCGCACCAAGCGTGCATTTTTATAATGCTCCCAGGTGATGCTGCTGAAGGCAGTCCACAGTCCACACCCAGAACCCACATACCAGGCCACCTGTACAGACTTAAAAATGAAGCCCCTAGCACACTGCCCAGCACACATGGTTTCAGCCCAGGAAACAGCACTAGAGAGACTATGCAAGCTGCTCTCCAGACTCCACGAGGGAACTGATGCTTGCTCAGTCCCATGCAGTCTTGGTGTCCCATCCCGATCTCCCTGCTCCTGCCCTCAGCTCTCCAGGGAAGAGAATAAACAGCAGCAGCAACATTTTCTACTTTATAAGCACTTGGTTTTATTGCACAGAAGCAATTGAGTGGACTCCAGTGGAAAGTGCGCCCTGGTATAATTCAGTGGCCAGTGCCCGGCCCTACCTGACCGCTCTTCCAGAATAGAGAGCTCTGGGCAAGGGCTTGACCACTCCTTTGGAAAACAGAAGGCATTTGGGAATAGGTTAAGACATCTCAAGTGATAATGTGTTTCTGCACTGCTCATTCATTATTGCGGTCATCTGTCAGTTGCACATAGAGGCAATAAATGCACTTATTTGGAAAGGAGGGGGCAGTTTTATAGTCAAGTGTTTACGTGTGGCATTCGGCATGTATCACATTCAGCTACATAAGCTATCATAACATAATTCGTCTCACGCCTGGGGAGGGCGTGGGGGCAGGGCCTGGGAGTGCCTCTTGGCAACATATTACAATAAATTCCTGTTTGAAGAAGGA